GTTGTAGCATTGTCCTTTCCGACGGTGCCACTTCCAATGATTCTTCCTTTGTTGTTGTCACCAAAAACGACATTGCCACCTTTGAAATACTCTAAACTCCTAAATTTGGATGCGTCTCCGGTCATGTGCTTGGAGCATCCGCTATCGAGATACCAAGAGGTACTCGAAGCCTTCAAGCACACCTACAAAAAGATATCAAGGAGACGGTTTAGGTACCCATGTATTGTTGGGTCCTTTTTGGTTAGCATATGTGCGATGTGTGTGCGTTTGTTGAAAATGCCTAATTTTGGTGAAGCACACGGGTGCAATGTGACCTATCTTATTGCAATAGTGGCAAATAACATTTGGATTATTCATCCTATATGGTTGAGTGTAATGAGTTCTAGGTTTGCTAAGATGTGCTTTTCTAGTTTGATTGTTTATCCTAGCATTTTTATTCCCCCTAGCTTTAACAAATGTTGTTTTTCTAGGTTGGTTTTTCTTATATCCAAGTCCTTCACCATTACTAATTTTTTGCTTAAGTATTTTATCTAAGGTGTTTGAAGCATTATTGAACTTTCCCAATTTGCTCTCTAAACTAGCAACCTTAGCTTTTAGTGATGTACAACTAGAGCATGTAGAAGAAGAAGTAGTTGAAGGTTCTTGTGGCCTTTTTCCAAAAGAGATAATTTCTTGTTTAAGTTTATCATTTATATTTTTGAGTTCTTTGATTTCATTTTCAAAAATCAGGATTTTTTGCTTTACTTCATTGTTTTCTTTGGAAGCCTTTTTTAACATTCTTACCAAATCTTCTACAATGCAAACAACATCATTAAGAGTTAAAGGATCATTGGGAGAAGGTTCTTGATCACTTACCTCTTTTGATGTATCACCATCTTCAATGGCCATGAGACACAAGTTGGCCACTTCTTCCGTTTCCGAGTCTTCACTCCCAGAGCCATCGTTCTCTCAAGAAATGTAGGCACGCTGCTTCTTCGGTGCCTTCTTGTCCTTCTCGTTCTTGAGCTTTGGGCACATTGGTTTGATGTGTCCAATTTCACCACACCCATAGCATTTGGGTGGAGTGTTCTTCTTGGTTCCCTTCTTGAGCATCATCTTCTTGAATTTTCGGACAAAGAGTCCGAGGTCGGTGTCGTCGCTGTCATCATCTTCATCATCAACGTTGTTGTGGGTTGATGTTCTTGCGGGTAGAGCAATAGACCTCTTGTTCCTCTCTTCAACCACCTTTGAGAGTTGGGTGGTTTCGTAGGTAATAAGATTACCTCGAAGAGCATCATAGGTCGTTGTTTGGAAGTCACGACCTTCTTCGATTGCGTCCACCTTTGAACGCCATTTGGGGGATAGGCTTCGCAGCACCTTTCTCACTAACTCTCGGTCGGTGTATGTCTTCCCGAGAAGATTGAGGGGATTGATGATGTTAGAGAATCTCTCAAACATTTCCTCAATCTTCTCATTTTCCTTCATTGAAAAGAGTTCATACTTGTGAGTGAGATGGTCAATTTTGGCCTCCCGAACCTGCGCGGTTCCTTCGTAGGTGACCTCCAATTTCTCCCACATTTGTTTTGCGGTAGTCATCCGCGTTAACACCGCAATAAATCATGTTTATTGCCTTGGCGTTGAGCTCCATCTTTTTGCAATCTTCGTTGGTGAACTCTTCTTCGGTTTTGGGAACATTGACTTCACCGACTTTGTTCATCTGGACTCCGCAGCCGTTCTTCACAATCAACCACAGCTTGTAGTCGTTGGATTGGATAAAGATTCCCATCCTCTCCTTCCAATACGAGTAGTTGGTTCCATCGAACAACGGTGGCCTCGTGGTTGATTGTCCCTCGTTCACTCCTGTGTTGAACATTCTTGATGCCATTTGATCTTTTGGTTCCTGAAAAATAACGTACTCGAAGAACTTCCTGCTCCGATACCAATTGTTAGACAAATGTGCAACACTAGAGGGGGGGGGGGTGAATAGAGTTGTTTTCAAGAATGTGCGTTTTTTGCGTGTGTGAAATAATAAAATCACAGGAATAAATAAAGAGAGCAAGGGAAAAAAGAACACCGAGATTTATACTGGTTCACCACCTCGTGGCTAATCCAGTCCTCCGAGAGACTCTCTCGAAAGTCCTACTAATCTTCAAGCTTCAACGGGTGCTTGAAAAACCGGTACAATTTGAGAACTTGGATCACACAAGCCTCACTTTCTTACAACAACAAGACTTGAGTCACACAAGTCTTAAGAAAAACACTCAAAAGAGATTGAGTTTACAACACAAGAATGAAAGCTCACACAATTGAGCAAAGTAGTATTGAAGAATTTAAGCTCTATGGATGACAACTTCTTTAGCACTCAAAGAAAATATTTCTAACTCTCAAAAATAATATTTTGATGAGGAAGATGAAGCAAAGGATGAATATAGCTCAAAGAATATATTGGAGTGCAAGAGGTGTGTATAGAAAGCTGATGATATGCACCAGACAGAATTAATCGATTAAATTAGGAATTTTAATCGATTAAAGTGTACAGAAGCGAAAAGGCTTGAAACCAAAAGTGGAATTAATCGATTAAAAAATAGGGAATAATCGATTATTCTGCTCTGTTTAAATTAATCGATTAAATGGACAAATTTAATCGATTAAGTCTATTGGCCTGAGGAATCCAGCGCTGAGAAATTGGATCTAATCGATTATTTTAGAAAAAATAATCGATTAAAGTAAAAAATAATGCGCAAACATGAAGGGCCCAAGCCTGTTTGCGATTGAAGCCTTTGGCTTCTAACTCGTTGTTTTGGACAACGGGAATATCAACGGGCGCTCCTCAAATTTGATTCAATGAATTTGAGTAGGAGAGAAAAAAGAGTCCAAAAATTTTTTTGTGTGTCAAACGATGTACAAGAAAAATATTTAAAGTATATTTTTCTTACCAAAAAAAATTGTGTAATCAAAAAAATGTTTATAAGAAGTTTTGACACACTTATTTTGAAACTGACTTAGTAAAATATTTTAGACAGAGGAAAAGTAATTTTTCAACTGACTCAAAAATTATAATTTTTTTATCCCTCAAAAATTAATTTGTTTGTGCAGAAGATATTGTCATCCTTACAAATATTCCTAGACTTAATAAAAAAATTTTCGGAGTCTTCACTTCACTTCAAAAAAAAATCTGCGTAGGGGTGGTCGTCGATTTATATCGCCGTAAACTTCTTGATACCCTTCTTTGCTTTTCTCGATTCGAAAATAAATTTTCGATCAGCTTGAAATTAATCATCCTGTTTGTCATTCATCAAAACAAAAAATATTCCAGAAGAAATAAAAAGGGGTTTGAACTCATGTCCAACACAATGGATTCATCAAAGGAGTCATTGACAAGACCCTATTCAAACTTCAAGATGGAGAAGATCTCCTTTTGGCTCAACTAAGGAAGCTCTTTGCACCAAGTTCTCCACCCTCATGCATGGAAAATTTGAGCTGAGCATGATGGGGGAACTCAACTACTTCCTTGGTCTTCAAATCAAACAGAGAAATGAAGGGACTCTCATCAACCAAGCCAAGTACACAAGTGATCTTATCAAGAAGTTCAAAGTTGATCAGAAATCATCCGTTTCTTTTCCCATGAGTACATCCACCAAACTTGACATGGATGTAGATGGAAAGGATGTTGATCAAACTCTCTACAGAGGAATAATTGGATCTCTACTATACCTTACTGCAAGCCGTCCGGATATCTCATATGCAGTAGGTGTTTGTGCTAGATTTCAATCAAAGCCAAAGGAAAGCCACTTAATTGCAGCCAAAAGGATTCTTAGATACCTCAAAGGAACTCAGAATATGGGTTTATGGTATGCTAAGAGCAGCTCATTTGAGTTAGTGGGATACTCAGATTTCGACTTTTCCGGATGCAAAGTTGACCAGAAGAGTACATCTGGCACTTGTCAATTCATTGGCGGAAATCTTGTTTCTTGGTTGAGCAAGAAACAAAACTCCATCTCTACATCAACAGCAGGAGCAGAGTACATTGCTGCTGGTAGTTGTTGTGCTCAAATCTTATGGTTAAAGCAACAACTAGTGGATTATGGAGTCAAAACAAAGGAAATGACAATATTTTGTGACAATCAAAGTGCTATAGCCATCTCACAAAATCCAGTGCATCACTCTCGCACTAAGCACATTGATGTCAAGCACCACTTCATTAGAGATCATGTCGAAAAGAAGGATATCAAAATTGAGTATATCTCAACTGAAGAACAATTGGCGGATATCTTCACAAAACCACTAAGTGAAGCCAGGTTTTCCGATTTGCTTCACAAAATTGGTCTAATTCAATTAGACTGAGTGCGGTACACGTGGTAGTCCACTTACCACGTTTGATAAAGAAATGGGAAGGCACGTGGCCTTGGGAACAGTTGAAAACCCAATTGCCACCAGCTGCATAAATCGCCCAAAATTAAACCCAATCGCCACTATATTCATATCTCAACTGCCCACTCAGCCCACTCAAATCTTCGTCATCTTCCTCACAAGAATTCTCAAGAACCCTAATTTCTTCAGATTCTTTCACCCAAAATTCAGAGAAAATGAAGGTTGTTGGAGCGAATGTTCATTTCCAGAAATTAGAAGTCAAATGTTCTTCACCGGCATTTTATCAGACTTATTTGGAGATGGCTGCTACACAGGAACTCTCCGAATTCCTTCATCTGGAAATTGGCTTCAAATATGAAGAATAAGTTCTTGAATTTTACAAGAACGGAAAAGTCTCAGCGGTTCAATCTAAGAAGAATCCATAGAGGACGATTCAAGTAATCAAGTCCACTGTTGGAGGCGCTAAAGTGAAGATTTCACAGAAGAAATTGAAGAAGAAGCTCCATTTTCCCAACTCTGGAATTGAAATTGGGAAGCTCTCTTCCAAAAATCTGGTCTGGAAGACTATTGGGATTTCTGGATAAGTCCCCTCTGGCCCAACAAAGAAGGCAGATTTGAAGAACGACTATAAATTGGTCTTGGAACCGATCATTGCATGCCTGGAATGTGGCAGCGGAGGACACGCAGATGACATAACTCAAGAAAGGGCATTCATCATCAACGCCCTCATTACCAGAACCAAGGTAAATTGGGCTAAACACTTCTTCAATTCTGTTTCCAAGCATTTACGAAAGCCAAAGCAGAAGTATCTCTGTCAAGGATTGTACCTTGAGTATATTCTGGAGTCCTTGGGTGTTGTCTCTGATGGCAAGAAGTATGATGCCAGATATTGGCTCTATTATCTGTCTTCCAAAGGAGAAAACAGAGCTAATTCAACTGCAGAAGATGAAGGTTCTTCAGACAATGTCTTGATTGTCAGTCTGAAGAAGTCCTCAAAAAGGAAGCGAGTGGTTTCTCCCTCCCCTAGTGCTGAGGAACCACACACCCTGGCCATAGTTAATCTGGATGCTGAAGAAGAAGTTTCTGCTCATAGAGAACTTCAGAAGAAGAAGAAAAGAAGAATCTCCTCTCTCTACATCTAAAAATGCCATTCCCGATGACTTGGTACAGAATGAACCAAATGAGGAAATCTCTGCACAAGACCAAAGTCCTCAACAGTTTGATGAAGAAACCCCTCAAGACAAGAGTCTTCCATCTCCTCCATCACAAGCTCAAACTGATGATGAAGTGAGCAAATTCATGCAGCTCTACTATGATTGGAGAGCTTGGAAGGTTGGAAACTCTACAAATCAGTTGCTTGAATGGGATCAAGAACTGAAGAATGAGAAGATCATCAAGAGATGTTTGGGACTTCCAATCAACTACTGTTGTGAGCAAATTCTCGATGATGAATGGGTCTGGCAGAGAACAAATGAAGACCTGTTATTGGAACACTTGACCAACTCTCCACCCTAAGAGTTTGAAGTTGATGATGAGGACACTGCAGTCTACAAACCAATCCTCTCAAAACCAACTGAAGATCAGACTGTCCTCACCACAGAAGCATAGGCTGACATGGAAGCTGAAGCAGAGGATTTCCAAGTTTTTCCGGAAACCTCACCTGCCTTTGGTACTGTTCTGCCTGAAGCTGTCCAGGAGAATGCAGCCACACCCAGCAAGAACAGAATCCAACAGCATTTGAAGAAAAGTTTCTACAATCCTTCCAAATTCAGGTTCAAGAGATCCTCACAACCCCTTGTGAGATCTCCAATCAACCTGAACCTGAAAATTTGGAAAGATCAACAGAAAAACTGGAGAAGTCCACTCCTCCAGAAACAACAGCAGATGAAGCCAATGAAGAACCAGTAGTAGAAGCACTGAGAAGCTTTGAATAAGCTGAAGAAGGAGCTCAAAGAGCTAGACTGAAGGCCACTAAAACTCCAGTTGCTATTTTTGAGCAGGAAGCTGAAGAAGAAGTCAGAGATTCCCTTTCTAGGTATATCTCAAACTATGGAAATGAAGAAACAGAGGAAGAGTCGGTAAAGACCCTCAAAATTGATGAAGAAGAAGCTGAGCAGGGAGAAGATGCTGAATCCCTCCCTCTGCAACTCTATCATAGGGTACCTTCTTCAAATCAGGTAACTAGTTTTCACTTTCACAGCTCTTCCACATCCACCTTTCCGGATGAGATACCGGAATCCTTGACAAGGAAGATCCAAGGGTTGATTGAGACAGCCCTGGAGTCTCAGAAAGGCTCTTTTAGGCAAGAATTGGATAAAATAGAAGAAAGACACAAGCAAACTCTGGAGAAGTCTGAAGAAA